GGAGATGCCCCCATATTTCACTGGATTCTTTTCTTCTTGTAGTCTCCTTTCCAAGGAGGAGAAATTCACAAAATTTACCTCAAGCATCGAGAGATTTAGTATAAGAATGCACACAGAAACAAGGGAAATATAGGTAGAGCTCGTGGAAGCTAAGAAAGATTGAGCAACTGGACCTCCTCTTGTCTTGCATTCTTAGTGCTGCATTCCTAGTCAAAACTTCATAAAAGATCATTTTTAGCATAATCATACATAGTATATTCTCTTTTCTCTGATTTTCAGACTCTTTAAGATAATGTCATTGCTATCAACTGCCAACTATAGATGGGTAGATTAGATAGATGATAGATAGATGATAGATAGATAGATAATAGATAGATGATAGATAGATAGACAGATAGATATGTAGATAGCCTTAGTTCAAGATCCTCAAAAGAGAAAATCTGATTGACAGCTAACCACCATTATCTCTGCATGGATGGCAGATTGCCTGCCTTTGAGCCTAGTCTAGTCTGATACCTGTAGCCAGAGGGACATGAATATGAGGCATCTGTACTCATGTATGAAACTATCTAGGAGTGCTTCCTTAGCTGGCTGTGAAGTTGGGGAAAGAGCTGTGGGGTGGCAGGCACCATAATTGAGACTGTCCTGGCCATTATCTCAACTACATTTGTCATTACTAAATCTTATTTTCGCTATCTCTTCTGTTTGCTATGTCATAAGCACATGGAGGTCAAAGGTGGTTCTATCTTCCCTTCACTCTAAGTCTGCCCTCTTCACCTCTTTCCATCCATATCTCAGAACTAAGAGTACAGTGCAGAGGCCTTGCTGACATCTAATAAGCATGAACTAATGAATCAAAAAAACCCACAGCCACCTGCTCCCTGGGTCTTAAGGGAAAATATAAGGCTTGAGCTGAATATGTGGTCATTCCCATTCCTGTTAATTTCCCAAGCTCCTCTGTGGGTTGTGTTCTCTGCTCCATTGGGGTGACACAAACATGACAGATGGCACTCTCATGCCCAAGGAGTTTATTCTGCAACCCAGGAAGGGCTATATTTTTTGCTATAAAACTCTTATAAATCTTATAAATCACTCTTATGCATTTAGGGCAGGAATATTGTGACACAAGAGAGATAAATGCTATTCCATACATGTAAACAGCAGAAATGTGTGGGTGGTTAAGAGATAGATGCATATATATCAGTGAATCCTAAATATTAATTCTTTTGGAGATTTTGATGTATGTATACAACATTAATAAATAGAGTTTCTGCCTTTCTATAAAATGAAGATTTTAATCTGATGGAAGAATATATATTTAAATTGAAGAATTAAAAATGTCATATATTAAACTCATTTTAATTTTAAATTTAAACTGTCATGATAATCTAAGGACGATGACTATAACTATAAAAGGACTAAACAAGCATTTGTAGATTTATCAATAAATTGACAGGTTAGAAGAAAGCTACCAAGATGAATATGAGATAACCAAGAAAAAAATAACAGCATTAAAAATGCATCTAACACAAGTTGGAAAGAAAACGATAAATAGGTATAGAAAACATCGAGAGTATGATGCTTATCTTATTAGAAATTCAGTCTTCAGCATACTAGCTATGTGTAAATCTCATATCTTTGAATAGTAGAGAAAAAATTGTAACCTCTTTTGTTCTCCTTTATGTTGTTTTTTAAAGTTTTTCCTATTACAAATGGTGCATATCCATCATATGTGTAAAAGGTTAAAAGGCCATCTATAATCTTTAGTCCAGAAATATATTATAATCATAATCCTTTTAAACTTAATAACATGTCATGAAGATCATTCAGTGAAATTATAAGTTCTTTTACAATTTTTTAAAGGTCCATAACAGAATCAAAGATGTTGTCAAACTGAAATAAACCCTGGATCATCTAGGTTAGCCTTTTCAGCAATGCTTTAATAATCTCGTTAGATGACTGTGAGCCCTTTCTTGACCACTTCAGTCACTGGGAAATCATCAGTTTGCCAGGAAATCCTTACATTTGCTTGTGTGTTCTAATTATGAAAAGTCCTGCCCTATTCTGAATTTTGTTCACCTCCTTTAACTTCTCCCCAGAAAAGCACTGGGCTTGGAATGCATTTCAGGTTTTCCCATCCTTTAGTGGCATACCCATAACTAAATCATGTTACTTTACTATACTTTCCTATACAGGCTTTATCTATAAAATCAGGCTAATATTTTTTGCCCCATATTCCTCATAGGGTTGTTAAAAGATTCAAGTAAGAAAATACTTGTGAAAATGACAATACATTTAAAGCAAATATGGATGATAAACATACTTCCTCTTTCACATATATTATTTGCAAATTATCATGTCTACCCCAAGTCCCTTCTCCAAGACAAACTGCCCAATTCTCTTCATCATCTCCTATAAATTATAATATCCAAAATCACTATCTTATGGACTCTTCTGGATACATGCTAATTTGCGAATGTCTCCTATAAAAGGTGCCACACTGAGCTAAACAGGATGATCCTGATGTGGCCGAATGAGTGGAAAATGAAATAGGCTTGTTCTGCCATTACTACGCTTGGCAGTTTGCTGTGGTGCCTTCTGAGATGCAGAGTTTTTCTTATTACCACCACCTATGTCATTTATCAAGAGCTCATTTAATTGCAGCATTTGAGAAAATGTCTTTGAAAAAAATCTTTTAAGAGTCGCAAAATGATCAAAAGAGTAAAATGTAGAAAAACAAATAGTAATAATTTATTTTCTCTAAATCACATGACTGATTGGGTATAAGAGGTATATCTTTCCATTAATGAAAGAAAGAAGGCATTGAATTAGCACCTAAAATAAAGTTTATCTGTGACTTTAAGTTATCCATGATTTTATTTGTACTGTCTTTTCAGGAATAGAAAGAGCAATAATGGGCCCCCCAAATAACAAGCAGAAAATATAACAACCTGCTTGTTTTTATCAGTCACTTCTTTCTTTTTAGAAAGGCAACTCTAAGAAAGTACAAATTATTGGCAACGTATCAGAACATATCATGATCTGTCCCAGAATGTGTAAAGTAACTATTTACCAAGTTGGTCAGATGATTTCATGAATTGTTAGCTCGTCTAAGCAAAGGCACACAGGAATCCAAATCTGCTGTATTAACACTTCACTTTCCTTTGAGCTGAATACTTTGTATAGAATGGTAATCTCAAAAAGATAAGAAGGAAAGCAGTCATCCAATCTCCCAGCTCTGCTTGCTGTCTACCTTCATAACCGAGGCAAGTCACTTTATCATTCTCTGACTCTGTTTCTCCACCTGGAAAATCTGGAAAGTCTTACCTATGACTCCTTTCTTTCTATGACTGTTGAGAACTTTAGAGGAAATACACTTCACACATTCAAAGATTTATGTCAGTGTTATTTTTTCTAACTGCTTACCTAAAGAAAGGGGATGGATTAGAGTTGAAAAAGTAATAAGGAGATGCCATTTGAAGTTGGATTGTTGTTGGCAGAAACCAATGTGGCCAAATGTGGTTTTGTTTTGTATTTCTTTTGCCAATTTCAGCTGGTTTGGGGTTGGCCCATTCTGAAAAATAAGGCTTCTTGGAACATGTCCAAGTAAGAAAAGCAAGCAGGTAGTTTGGTGATAATAAATTTCAAAAACTAATTTTTGTTTCCTGTGACTTTGCAACAAAATGTGTTATGAGCTGGTCTGAAACCAGAACATCAAAAACCAAATAGTATACAAAAGGCATAACATTGGGGGAAAAATTTCAAGTCAAAAATCAAAATACAGCTCAGTGATTTCAGAAGCAAGATTTCTTGTCAAGAATAACTGCCATTAAAATGTTATTAGGCATAAGTGAAAATGATTTTAGGGGGGATGGAACCTAAGGGAGGGTCTGTTTTAAGAAACATAGTGAAATTTTATTTTATTCTCAATTTTCCCAGTCAGGTTTGTCAGATCTCAGAAAAAAATTAGGGGGCTCATTCTCTGCTGAGGGTTTATCACTATTGACATACAAAGATTGAAATTTTTAACTCAGAAAACTCTATCAGCAGAGTCTCTCCAGTTTTCTTTGGCCAGTGAATCACACTAAGAGTCTCTTGAGACCATCAGTGGCGACAAGACCAAAAAATTAAAAAAAAAGGAAACATGCAAGAGCATGCAGGCGTCACTGGAGCCTTCTGATATAACACACGGAGCCCACGCAGCACGAGAATTGGTCTGGCGTCATTGTTCCATGTTCACTGGATGCTGTAAAGTCTGATTTGCATTAGAAACCTCTGCATTCAATAAACAAAAATAGGGATAATGACCAAAGCGCTATTTGGAACAGAAAACAAACTCAAGCAATGAGTGTTTTCCACTGAATTCATTCAAGATTTTATTAGTTGAGCTCTCACTTAGGTTATTAGGCTCAGCTTGCCTTTAATTTCATTGGCCTCAATTATTCAAAACAAAAGGAGCCCGGTGTGTGTGCGTGCGTGTGTGTGTGCGCGCGCGCACACACACACACACGCACACACACGGGGACGCATCACACACAGGCTTTGTACATTCTTCACATTGCAAACCCATCAACAAAAGGAGGAAGAAGATCTGAGGGGAATGAGTGGTTTTTGCGGGTTTAGGGATGGAGAATTTCTCTACATAAACAAGAAGGTTTGGATTGGAAGTCTGCTAAAAAAAATGTTACAGCTGACCACAGGGTTGTAAATCCAGACTGGAAGGAGAAGAAGAGAAACATTGCAAGCGAGTGAAGTGTGTGTGGCTGCAATGTTTGTGGGTTAGATGAGAAACAAGCGCTGAGTGAAACCGAGAAGGGGGGTGGCTGGTGTGATTTGTTTGGTGTGCGGAGCCAATAGAAATCCCAGACTGCGATAATATCCCGGTGCAGCGCCGCGCGGAGTCAGAGCCGAGTCTGGGGCCGGTGCACATCTGCGAGCCGCGGCCCAGGGCGCACCGCGGAGCCGGCTCCCCGCCGCCCCCAGCCCGCGCGCCTCCGCATGCGCGGCCGCGGTGGTCCGGCCGCGGGCCCCCGAAGGCGGCCGAGGGAGAGCCGGCGCACAGTCCGCCGTGGACTCTATAGCTCAGAGGAGAGGGACCCGAGGAGGAGGCTTCCATCACGTCATTGCAGGTACGCAGCTTGTCACGACTAATGTGGCACAGACACGGTTTCTGATTTCTACCTTCACAAGGCACTGAAAAGTAATTGACGTCGTTGGTTCCACTGTGGGTCAGAGTAGAAAGCACTGTCTATCTTGATTCACCCTCGATTATTAAAGCTGTTAACGTGTGTTTGGAGGCCACGGGGTTTATTCACCTATTGAATTCTCCGTGGGTGTAAAGCAAAGACCTTCAAACTTGACCGTCGTCTCTTTCTTTAAAATAACATCAGTATCTGCCTGTTGTCACGCTGCCCACTTATAGATCTTGGTGACCTCCGTTATAGTTGTGACCTAATAGCAAGTCAAACACCGTCTGATTGTTAGAAAGCAGGCTTTGAGCATTCCCACCTACCTATCAGGTTAAGATTCTCCTCTAAGGAATAGGAACCAGAGCGGACTTGAGAATGGTTTTGATCTTTAAAGCGTATGGCCAACGTGGACTAAGCTCATGAGTGAAACAGCACTGGATCGCTTCGCTGTGGTTGAAGAAAGGGAGAGAAGGGAGAGCGAGATTTCTCAATGTGATGGTCAGTGACTCCTCTTCTGTACCTGATTTATTTTTACATTGTCTTATGAGTTGAAAATGCATTTGTATTCTGCACCCGCAGGCAGGATGAGTTCCAAGACTTCATGTGTTACTACATTGAAAAGTCATGAATTGGAACTGTGTCATAAATGTGACACTTGTGAGGAAATGCCCATTTTTGGTTTGATTTTATTTGATACTAAAATCGGTAGACATCTGGCCACTTCTTTTCCTGTCTATTCATTTTATTTTGAGAAATGAATTTTGTAAAAAAAAAAAATCTATTTCCAGGGATTTTACCATGTTTGCTTTCAAATTTTGAAGATGGTTATGTAACTTTTTTCTCCCTGTTGATTACTTGTGATTAAATTAACATTGCTTAATGAGTTCAGTCTTTGCCTTGGAAAAGCCAGTGGGGATCGAATGAAGGCTGAGTTAAAAGATTAGTCTTGCTTTGGGCGATCCTCAAATAACTGGGGTATAGCTGCTCTGAATCCCTGGATAAAGAGCTTTTCCTGCAGTGAAGAACATACACAGATTGGGACTCTAGTTCCACAAGAGAATGGCAGGTGCAGGACCAATGGAGGATGTTGTCTTATTAGCACACTTCTCAGTGGGTTCTTGGTAGAACATATTCAAACCCTCCGTTGCTAATTCACAATCAATTCCCCATTCTGTCATGCCTGCTTTTTAGGGCACGCCTTATCCAAGACATGTGCCTGCCCAAGGTAGATAAGGAAGATATAAGAAAGGTATTTGTTTTACATATCACAATGGAGAATTTACATTGACCTGTGGGGTTTTTTTTTAATCAAATTAATCTTTTGTCATTAAGGAAAGTGCATGCTTAGCTCTACCACGGAGTCTTGAAAACTGTTCATATTTTTGCCCAATGCCAAGTTTGAATGATTTCATGGGTATTTTTGAAATCATGTCAAAGAATAGACATGGCAAGTGAATATTTAGGAGAGAGCATTTTGATTTTAGAGATGAATATTTTTCTCTTTCTTATATCACAAAGGAAACTGATTGTCAAGAATTTACCTATTTAAATAAATACTAATTAATTGACCCAACTAAATTCTATTTGCAGCTAAAAGTGTAGTTTTGCATCACCATAAACATTTTTCAATCTATAAATATAATATCTGAAATAAATTGAGACCCATTTCCCTCTTGCCATTCAAACTCTAAAGCGATTTTGGGCATGTCGGTAGTGACAAAGTAAATGTGAGGCTGAACATATATATATATATATATATACACACACTTTGTCTGGACTAAGAGACGCTGATGGCTTTTCAAAGATAAATGTCAACAATGCTTTGATTACTCGCTGTTTTGTGCTATCATTCTTCACTGAGAGAAGTAATCAAAAGTTCATTCCCTGTGCATTTTAGTATGGCCAGCTAGAGCTTTAGATACCCGCAAGTTATAAGTTTGGTAAAGTTTAAACAAGGCACATGCCTTTAACTCTCTTTAAAGTAAACACCTCTTCCTTAGTCCTCTTCTTCTAAAGCAAAGGAATGGAATTAAGCTCCCAGTCTGGGCGCCGGTTCTTATTGATATGGAGAGGACTGGCCGGCCTAGGTCAAGGACAAGCACCGGGAGGCTGCAGAGGCGCAGGTTAGACCAGCCTCATTTGCACCTCAGCATTGCTAGAGCAGTCAGGCCGGGTTGCAAGCATTTTCTCAGTATCAGGGCCCTTTAACTATTTAGGAGAAAGTGATGAATTATTGCAACCAAATGTGCCAAGTATTGGGCTTAAAACCAGTCACACAAAGAGCCAGCAAATAAGACAAATTGTTTTGAAGGGGAAAGTATACAATTATAAACTTGGCCTCTGGTGCCATCTACGCCTGTGTTTGCTTGCCTAGCTGTTTCTCTTCCTACCACAGAGTTCTCTTTTATATAAATTGGACACACTGACCTAATAATGTATAGAATTAATTTTGATCCCAAGTCAGGCTAAAGTATGGTCCTCAAACCACTAATCTAAATAACAGATATTGCCTACGGCCACCACTTCTCGTTGGGAGTATGTCTTTGATTGGCCAGCTCATCCATAGGACCCAGCTCATGTGGATCACTGATTTGCAGAGCGGAGTCCCAGAGCCACATGGCAGTAAGAGAATGAATAGGGAGAGGGTCAAAGTACCATGGGTGTGAGGGGAGATGTTATAAAGGTGGGCATCCTTAAATATGAATCCAAGAGTCAAAGGAATAATGAGTTTATTTCCTCAAATACGCTTCCAGTATAAACTTTTAGTGAGATTTCCTGAATATTTTAAACAAACTCTCATGTGTACACATGTACCTTGCACACAGGTATGGGATGAAAATAAAGACATTTGATGCGCTGTTAACACTCCCCTACACACAGGCCAGGAGAGGGCAGCACGCAAACTGTAAAAAGTGACGTCTCCTCTTGACCAAGGGGAGACTCCAATCTCCAAAATAGCTAAACCTGTCTCCCTAACTGTATGTGCCTTCTTCCCTTTGAAAAGCTGAGTCTAGAGCCTTACTTGCTAAGGGATACACCATTCAGAAAGATTTGTTTCTACTTTTGCCTCCAGAGTTGGTGCCGCCCAGCAAAATAAAGAAAGCAACCTATTTAAGAGAGAACTCAACTTCTCTTTCTTTGAATTAGCTTCATTCTTTGAAGCTATCCAAGTGCTCTTTATCTTTACTCTGCCAGGAGATGGGTAGGAGAAAGGGAAGTAGAATACAGAGAAAAAAAAAAAGAAGAGAGAGAATAGGGTTTCTTGAGTTTGTCCTCCAGGGGAAATGTTTATGAACTGCTTTTCTCCATACACCTAGCCTTTGTTTTAAGCATGTCTCAAAGGCAGGTTCAGGGCCACAAGAATACATTTTGTACACTGACAGTCAATAGTGTCTCTAGAATCCTAGTGAATTTGGTTTCAAAACAGAAGAGCTAGAATAGCTTTTTTTTTTTTTTTACTGGTTTCCAGAGTCTAAGACGTGCTAAAAAATAAGAATTATGCATCTACCTCTTAAAATGTCAGAGATTGGTCAAACCTAATCCCTACTACACCTAGTCCAGCCTTTTAGAAACTCATGGCTAGTAAGCCTACACTGTTCTTACTTTCGCGGATCAGCCATATTCTAGAGACAAACTGTAAATGTCCATAGAAGAGAGAAATAATCACTCTTAAAGTGGGCAACCTGTAGCTGGCAGTGATAATTCCTGCATGCTTCATCCTAATTTAGCTAGATTGGTGACTTTAGCTTCAGGAACACCCTTGTCACCTTGCCATCTTTGGTTCAAATGCCACACAACTTGCTGCTAAATATGAAGGCTGTAGAATGCAGCTTGGGGGGGTGCTTTAAAACAAAGTCTGGGAGGCCCAGAAAAAAGCAGTCTTGGCGAAAAGCTGAGGTTTCTCCTGAGAGAAGAGGAGGCAGAAGGGACACTGGGCTGGGGATGGGCACACGAGGTGACTGAGAAGCCATGAAAGGGTAGTGCTGAGGCTTCTGGAGAGTGTGACTCCTGGGACCCTCAGGGTCTGCCCAGCAGGGCTCAGCCTTGGAAGCGCTTCTCTCTGGTGCCACTGTACTCTGCTAGGAGGTGTGGTGTCCTTGAATCAAAGCAAAAGGTTTTTTTCAAGGACGAAGTAAAGATTTCTTGGTGTCTGGGAAGAAAGGGAGGTCACTGTGTGTCTCCCCCATTCTCAGCCAGATTAGCCTCTGCAGCACTCCCATGTACTGTCTGGAATGACGCAGTTGCCCCAGGGCTTCTGTGGATGCTTGGGTGAAGGGGGTACATTCGTCCAGGGTCACTGTAGAACCAGGCACAATGCTGTAATCGTGGGGTGCCTGCAACAAGGGAGGGAGAGGTAAATCCTAGGAGCTGAGAAGCTCCACTGCTGTTTCTCAGTTTTTAATATAGTCCTTCTGAGCTCCTTGCAGTCAGAGAAACTCTGGGTTCATCTCTTTTTTCTAGATTACTTTGCAATAAAGGAATCCTATGACTGAAGGGGAAATCTCTTTGAAGGCACTTCCCTGTTTGAGAGGCAAAGCAGGGTAAGTAAGATTACAGAATGCTGGCAGATACAGTAATCCTCAGGAGAAGACATACCCGATAGTTCTTAGTCACACTAAGAAAACCCTTCTGAATTGTGAATGCAAGGGAACTAGAGACAAAGGAACTACATGACTTAAGGAAAAAATTCTCCCAAAAGAGTTTTTGAAGGATATGATGCCACGAGCACAAATATTCACAAACATGACTTTCATGTTATGGATTAGTAGTCATTCCAAACTAAAATTCTCCACTCCTATAATTTATTTAAACAGCGAGAGAGGGGGAAAAAGAGAACACACAGAGCAGGGGAACACTTGACTAGCTCATGTGAAATGCTAAGCTGAGTTGACTTTGTCTAGTACAAATACCATCTGCATTAAAAATTATTCTGTTTCTACAGCTGTGACTCTAAAAGCTGGAGGAAGCTAATCTTATCACCTATGGGAAACTCGCCACCTCACTCTGCTTTTATGCAATTACAACACACACCCTGGATAATGCATTAAATTCTCTAATTGTAGTAGGAGTGTTGCAGGAAAGTTGATAGATGTGTGATATTGTACTTACAGTTAATAAAAACCCAGCAGCTCTATGAGATTTCATTGCCAACTGCTTTTTCTAGGAATCTAAATCTCATCAAATTTTCAAGCTATCTTTAATTTTCCCTTTTTGATCATTTTACAAATTAAGATTCATCTAACATTTGTTGAATGCATAACACATGCCAGGTTATACTAGACACATTCCTGCATAGTATGTAATTTAATCTTTACCACAACTCTGAGGATTTATCTTATGCAAGTTTTATTGATTGAGGCAATTGGTTATAACCAAGAATATAACCATTTATGCAAGCATTCATTCAACAGATAGCTATTGAACTTCTTCTTTGTATAGCAGTAACAGCAACAGTAATAAAATAGTATGGTTATTGTCGCTAGCATGATCCTTTATATTATGTTTCCACATACATGGTTGCACTTAATTCCTGGATAAGCCAGTTACTCACACATGTAAAAACAACAACAAGCAAACATCTTTCTATACACCAACTCGTCACTAAGTGATTAAAATTATGTATATGGAAATAATCTTGATTGTTGCTTGATTTACGTCTATAGTCATAGGAGTGTCATTTGATAGAGTATAAACAGATGAAAAATATTCATCCTCAAGCCTATTACTGGAGAGAAAAAATAGATGTGTCCATTTTAAGCCCTTGCTGAGGATGTGTTCATGTCTTGGGGCCACTTCCTCTAGCCTGCAGAGAGCACCCCTCATTGTTCCTCATTAAATCTTTGGAGCAATACAGAAATGTGTGGCTTCAAATATATATATCCTAGACTTCATCTTGACAAATAATATGGAAAAAGTACTTAAGATATCTCACTTCTGTGAATTCAGAGAATGTAAACTTCGGAGAAAACAGACAATAGCAGACAATAGCATCACTGTGTTTCAGAGGGCCAAATGGTATTAAGACTCCTTTGACCTACTAGAGGGTTATCTGGTTATTATTGAAACTTATTAAGCTGGGAAACTCAGGAGACCGGGTCTGCGCCTGTTCCTGTTATTCACACTGGAAGTGTGGCCTTAGGGAGAACCTGCAATCTCTTGAGTTCACTCTTTAAAAAGAGAAAGCAGAAGTGGATCATCGTATTTCATGCCAGCCCTAAACATCAGTTCTACAAGCTTCCTTCTGTGACGATAGCTGACATTCCTTGAAGGATGACTATTTGTTAAGTATTTTATAGGTATCATCTAATCTTTATCAAAAGCCTAGTATTCTTTTTTTTTTTTCTAAAGCCTGGTATTCTTATTATCCCCACTTTACAGGTGAGATAACTAAGGCTTAAAGAGATTAAGAGCTTTCAAAAATTAACACAGACAAGCAAATTGCAGAACTGGGTTTCACACCCCCCTCCTCCACCTTTTGCATAGCATGTTGCACCTTCATTCACTTATTTATAGTATGTGTGGGGAAGATACTATGTGCAAGGTGCTGTGCAAGGTTATAGGGGATAATTGTGAAGAGCTCAAATAAGTGGGAAAGACAGAGAATACCCTAGTAATTATAATGGTGTTTGCTGAGTATGATAATACAGGATGTTTCGCAAATCTATGGTATTATTTTGCCTTATTAACAAAACCATTGGACAATTTAAGTCTGCTGATTATAATAGCTCAACTCTTTTCTTTATATCATTTTGGATATTTCTCCCTCTCCAATATAGTGTGGCATTAGTCTTCCTTGTGTAATTATTTTTGTCATATGTTTACATCTTTTACTAAATTTTAAATTTCCCTTGAGGACAGAAGCCATATCTTATTCAACTTTTGGTTTCTCAGCACAGAATCGATGCTTAATTAGTTGTACCTCCATTGAGCTCCAGCTACATCTAATTTACAGCTAGGATCAGAGACTCCTGCTTATCTGCTGAAAGGCACAGTCTTCAAAAAGCTTTAAATACACACATCTAGCATAGGCTAAACAAATGACAAACTCAGTCATTCATCTTGGGGAAAAAACATTTTTTTTTCTTTTTGCTTTGTGTTACTGATCCCTTGTGTTACACATTTTTGTTTAATATGGTCATTTCAGTAAGAAAATCAAACTGTCATTAAAAGTCAATCCTCTTTTTAAACAACTTACTGCTTTGACTTTAAAATACTTTATCAACCATTTTGACACATTTTTCTCCCCAAGTGGGAGACAACTTCATCATTAAAGGGTGCCAAGGTGTTCCTGCAAGTTTATCCTTCATTCCTCTGGGGTTATGTGGGCTGGTCATAACATACTGGAATGCTTGCTAGCTTTCTGGGCTCTGTGCTTTAATTTGGAAATTAACAAAGTCTAGCTCATGCAGAGAAAGTGATAAGGTTACCAAAGATTCTGGAAACAGTGTCGGGTTTTGAATTGGAAGGCTTAATTTGGGAGAAGCAGGAGAGTTCAAGAGGACTGATTTGCCCTATGTGGTTGCAAAGAGCAGATTTTTAAAAATCTCTGTGAAAGAATTCTTTACCGTCGGGTAGTCTATGACAATTCAGGAGGGTCTATGAATTTGGGTGGTAAAAAAATTACATCTATGTTTCTACTGCCCTGAAACTGAAATATCCCATCCCCTTTAGTTATGAATGTGAGCAACAGACCACACTAGCATTAGCAGAACTGTCGCCTCATCACCAAATAGAAATCAGAGCTATTTTCATATCACCTCACAGTTGATACAGATGTTTCAAAATATCACTTACACGTATCACTACTTCAAAATTATGGTAGTTATTATACCTATTTCTAGATCTTATTATTAACATGTAAAGAAGACCACTTAAATCTATATCACACTTTTGTTTTTAAAATATGTTGGTATATATACATATTTGTGTATTTATACACATATATATGTGTATATATGTGTGTGTGTGTATACACACATACATAGTTCCTATTTAGAGTATACATTTCTGGGAACGCCTGGGTGGCTCAGTTGGTTAAGCATCTGACTCTTGATTTCAGCTCAGGTGATGATCTCAGGGTCATGAGAGCCAGCCCCGTGTTGGACTCTGAGCTGAGCGTGGAGCCTGCTTAAGATTCTCTTTCTCCTTCTCTCTCTGCCCCTCCCTATTCTCTCTCTCTTAAAAAAAAAGAGTATACATTTCTGAACTTAGAAACATTATCCTAAAAAGGAGCTTCAGTAGACCCAAAGGAGGTCCCTGGGGAAAAAATGTAAAACACCTCACTCTATAGGCTGGTAAATTTGGCTTATTAGATGGCAAACTTTCTATCAACTGAAGTTGCCCCAGATGGAATAGGCCACCCTGTGAGCCAAAGAAGCTTGTGCTGGCAAGGGGCAGTGCGGAGGTGGGGTACTGGATGGATTTCAGTTGAGGGAAGTTATACATCAGACATGGAGTTGGGCATGATGCTGCCACCTAACACTGAGGCTACATGGTCAAGACCAAGAGACAAAGAAAAGTCCATTGCTTTCCTCAATTTCGATTTGCGAGGGTTTGAGCCAACCGGCTTCTGTAAGGAGAGAAGAGTCCTTCAGCGGTGTACATCACACCACCTATCTTTCTGTTTGTTTCTAGGCTAGTCTCAAACATCAGTAAGTACTTGTGAATTGGATGGCTGAGGGCCACAGTTACTGATCAGGTCTGGCTAGTGTCCAAAAGAGTCAGAGACCCACTGCATGGGGTTCCTAAGCATAGATAGCTCTAGGCTGCATTGTAATCGTCTTTTCATTTCTTCTCTCCCCTGCTGTACTGTGAGATATCTAAGGGGCCATGCATTTGCATCTTGATGTCTCTAGTCCAAGATACTTCATGTTTGGCAAACAAATTGATGAATGCCCCTGTAGAGGTCACTGTTGTTGCAGAACCAGTGGCCCCATTTTTTAAAAATAAGGAAGAAAATACGAGAAAGAATATTTCTGATTTTACTAAATGTAAGTATCATTGTGGGATGGGCTCATGGAGAACATAGTTATGGGCCACTGAGTACCCAAATAAAAACTTCAGAGAAGAATCCTGTTCATGGTAAAATGAGCAACCTCTATTCAACTCAATGGAAGTGTTGATAGCAAATACCTTTCAGGATGGCTGGGGCCTTGTGGGGTCTGGTAACTTTTAGGGAGGTAAAAAAATTTTATTTGGGACTTAATTAAGCTGAGGAGGAGAGAAGTTCTCCTTCATAGAGGATGCCAAGGTGTCCCTGCAAATGTATAGCTCACTCTTCCATTGTTATGGACTCTGGGAAGGTAGTGCTTATGCTGGAAGGCAGAGTTGGGAGGGGACAAGAAAGGACTTATCGAGCACATACTATGCATTTTAGGTATTTGAACATACAAGATGTCATTGATTTTTATAAAAACTTCTTGTGGTAGGTGCTATTGTCCACATTTTACCAACAAAGAACTGAAGTATATTGAGCTTCAGTAAATTTCTTAACTTCACACAGCCATTAAGTGGCTAAGTAATCATTAATCTAAGAGCTTAAGAACCCCAAATAAAATTCGCTGCCTTTTCACTACAACAAAGCTCTAAAACACTGCCTTTTTCTTCCATAATTTTGGCTCTGTTGCCTCTCAGTGATGCAGGGTTCATACTAGAGACTCACAGAGATAAGAGTCTAGGTGTGTTGTGTTGGGGGACACTACTACCTGAGGGACACTATTACTTAGAAGCAGTAATCTTCATCTAAAATTGCATAGTATTGTTTTAAGAATTATATAAAATAATGCTTTCACCCCAGGCACAAAAATGCAGTTCTTGTTATTATTTGTTTATTTATTTAGCAGGCTTTTGATATTGGTGGATTGGGGCAAAAAAGCAAAGGTCTTCAGAATGAGTATCTGTGAATGTTTTATGAAAGAACAGCGCGTTACTATGAATACTTTAGAATTGGGAGTTCAAATCCAATTTTATGAACTGAGATAAATAAAGCATTTGAGTCTTAAGTTTATCTTTTAAATGTAATAATTATTTAGAAGAGTTAATTAAACACTCTCCCTAGAACCACTGATTCTTTTGACAAATATGTATGGATCCAGAGCTAGAAATGGCAGAATATCAAAAGACGGATCATATTTTCAAAGAACTTATAGCTAATGGGGAAGACAAGATGTATAGATCAATAATGAGGACACCAGGTAAAAACTGGATAAAACTGGTAAAGATGTGGACAAATAAGGTGACAAGGGCATTGGAGGAGTGAGAAGTTACTTCCAATAAAGAATTTTTGATGCTCCAGTAAAGCCTGGGCAAATCACACCATGTGTTACTTTGCATTATTTCCTTTCTGTTTTCTCCATCCTATGACCTGTGTTATGTATTAATGTCTTCTAACTCATTGAGTTTTAGAGATACAAAGAAATGATTTACTTAATCTTCTAATTTTATATATAAGGAACTGATAGCCCAGAAAATTATGTGCCTTGTAAGACTGCTAAGTAGTTATTTTGTAGAACTAGAAATAGAACCCAGGTTCCCTGTCTCCCTGTCTGTTCCTCTTTCTACTACACCATACACCCCAGTGGACCTCCACCATTAAGCTAAGCCTAAATCAACAGTACATGAAGTGCTGTAGGAG